TTAAAGATGAACCACATTTTCTGATATCATGTCCATTACAATATGCTAAACAAAGAAATGTATTATTTGACTCAGTTTCTATGAGAGAAACAAACTTCACTCATATGACCCCCAAATACAAAAATTACGTTCTTGATGAGCAATAATGAAATGTTCAACATATTTGCACTTGCGAAATTCCTCAAAATTAACCTAAATGTAAGACTTGTGGGGGAAAACTGCCACAAACAGTATAGGATCTTTAAATCTCACCAGATAGACTGTAGATACATCAAGCAGTAGACGGTATACCAGTGTGCAATGTTCTAATGGTGAACACGCATTTATTCAGTTGTACAGCAATGAGATAGAGCTAGTTGAAAACTACATACGCTAGGACGATTTGGAACAATGTATCACTTGGAGTACAAAGGATGAAGTCTGTCTTAATTAACACTCTTTGTCAATTTAAAGACAAGGGTGGATTCACACCTTAGAATTTTAATCCTTGGCGTCAATTAATATGATTGGTTGTTTTAATTGAGCCAATCAGGGAGAATACACTTATGTAAACTGATAGAAATGGCTGAATACAGGCCAAAGTGTGTTTCTTTGCGTCACGAAAACAGCATAAATCTATAGAAACTTTGATTACAACTACTCAATCTTGATAACATAACTAAAGATAATAAATACTGATAATTACATACAACAATGAAATAAATCCGATAAAAAGAAGTGAAGTTATGGTTAAATAACATGAAAAATATATGTATCCACATGGTAATAACGATAAGACTCGAAGAATAAAAAAATTGTCGAACCTACTTCAAGATTGTCAAAGTGAGAATCAGGCACTGCTCAGACTGAGTAGAGTATAGATCACATTCCACTTCCAGGTATTTACGAGTATCTATATTTATGTTCTCCCAGACATTTAAACCACTGTTATTTTCTAATTTGCATATTTTCATATTATTTGCATATTTATTCTAAACAGAAATTGGGATGATTATACCCATTTCACAATGCACATAATTATTCACTTACAAAACTTTTATTGCATCGACGTACAGCTACACATAAGTTTCAGTTTTCAACAATTTATTAATTTTATTTAAAAAGTCAACAATGGCACAGTGGAAATAAACCACTATGACAGTCTAAATAATGGCTATGGCAAAACATGTCATCTCGTTGTTTTCAGGATGCAGCCTGATATTTGTTGCTTTCTTGGTTGTTACAATTACAGTTTTACAAAAGTATTTGGATTTTTTGGATAGATTGGTTATTGTTATTATAGGTAATATATCATAAAATTTAATGGGGATAGGAACTTAACTTTATTGATAAATGTGATATTACTGTATGTTGATTACCAAGTTTTTACATATATGGGTGAAAAGTAAAAAAAACGATCCGTTCGCATCGCGTTGTGTTCGGTTTGGGACTCATAGCGAGCGACGTTCACATATCTTTGTGATTTTTTACACACTAAACCTATGAACATTGTAATGCGATTTATGAGAAACTTTCTCAAAATATCTGAGTATAAAGCTTCTACCTTAAAATTCACCATTGCATTGAGCATGTGCCACGCCAGTTTCCAGGGAAACCACAAGGTGTATCCCAACCTCGTTCTCAGTTCAATCGCAGGTCTGAGCATGCGCATACTTTCTGATTAGTACTCAGTTTGAAATTCTTCTGCTGTATGAGGAGTCATGGCTGGCAAAAAAGACAAGAAGAGAAAGAAGGATAAATTGAACAGAACATGGGTAAGTTTGTTATTGCTCCACGTAGTGCTAGGGCCCTAGTTTGCCGGTTAGATGTACACAATGTCGTACGAGCTAGCTGTTTGCAGTCGGCACTCGCTCTTGACCCTCTTTGCTATGCAACCGAAAACGACGCTATAATGGCGTCGAGCTCTGTGCATTTGGGTTTGTTTACAACGACGATTATATGACATGAATACGGTAGTGGGAACACTGAAAATGAACTGCAGCGTATCATTCGTTAGACGTGACCATGGCGTCGCTGTCTTAACGGTTTAACGGAAATACACATGTTTTTTTTTTAGACTTTATAACATGTTTTGATTCATTCGTTTGGCTCGTTTCCAAAAAAAAAAAAAAAAAAAAAAAAAACATGCGAAAGTTCGTTAGGACCACAGTCAGCCTCGTCTATCAAGATATTTATCTCGACCGCGTGTTAATCCTGACTGAACTGTTATGCATTCAGAATAACCTTTGTCAGGCCATAGAGTTAAAATATCCAGTATGACAATACATCCGTAATATATAGGTTATTAATGCTATACATGACTCAACGGACAAATAGTTTGTTGTTAAATTGTGCAACAAATCAATAATTAATATATTATTGTGGGGTGGGGTGGGGGTGTTTGAAATTAATGTTTCTAACTGAATTTGATCAGTAAAATCAGAGAGTAGAACAGTTAAGTGGCTCTCAATCCTCTTGATTTGACGCCAGGGGATGGCTCAGGCCTTACTCTGGGGTGTTGGCTCAGGCCTTACTCTGGGGTGTTGGCTCAGGCCTTACTCTGGGGTGTTGGCTCAGGCCTTACTCTGGGGTGTTGGCTCAGGCCGAAGCCCAAGACCAGGATGATGACTCAGACTCAACACAAAAGGTGGTACTGTACAATAATCCTCATTCGTAAATTTGTGCTTAATTGCACTTTGGGGGGAAACTCAGATTTGTTTATTTTGTGAGGATACCTTTAATACTCTATTTTTCATTTTTACTTGTTCTTAAAAACAGCTTGCCCAATTGTTATGTAGGTAGTCTGCATGGATTACTGTCAAATTGATTTGATTTATTTCTCTATCATATTAAATCATTTAGTGTTGATAACTTCAGATTTCTTATTTGGGGGAATAATCCTTGAGTTTCCTTTATCAGTATGCAGCCAACTTGCTGTTGTGTGAATATCTCAGAACTAGAAACAATTCTATTTTATATTAAACCAGTAATAAATTTGCTGCAAAATTTATAACTATAATGACATTTAACTAAATGCAAAATATGAATTCAAGGAGGAACATACATCTACATAATATGTATCAGGATTTATATTTGTACATGTACTTGTATCAGTATAGCAATGTATCTAGCAGTTTACATACCAACACAGCAATATTGCTGGTGGATTGCTTTATCCTTCACAGTAAATTCTATGCTGTAACATACATGTAATGTTTCTATAATAATATTTTTCAAAATTATCAAGCTTATATTTTTATATTATTTAATTGTAGCCCAATATAGGAGCAGCACTGTTTCCTCGTCCTATGGTGGCAGTTGTACCCAAATCACAGACAGTTGTTCCCGAGAGTCCAAAAGTTTTAAAAAAGACACGATCACCATTTGTAACTGGAATCTTAACAGCTAGCCTTGGAGGCAGAGTTATTGCTAGTCCTCATAACTCAGGTGACTTTGGGACAATGACTGGATCATTAGATGGAACTGGAACACAGAAAATGGCAAGAGTGTCCAGTTCTCCTGGTAGTTTAGCTGGTAGTAGTATGTACAACTATGATGATATGCCAGAAACTCCTGGGTAAGTTTTTTTTATTTGTCATCAAATCACCAAATTACACATAGGATTGACTTTTTGGCAATATAAGATAGACTATGTATTACAAAATTAAATATTTAATGAACATAAGTCGAGGGACACTCCAGACTCTTGAGTACATTTGTTTTGCATTCAGGTTCCTCCTTTCTGAATTTTTAGGGCAACTTTTATTACCTCTGTGTGTAAGCAAACTTTG